GGGGGGGGGAGCGGCAACGGGCGCGGCCTCCGACATGGCGGCGGCCGTCGTCCAGGGAAGAGGGGGAACCACTGGGCCTGGAGCAAGTCGGCGGCCTCGTATTTATAGAGAGGAGCCGCGCGGTGATTGGTGCGTTGCAGCGCCCGCCCCGCTGCACGGCTGAAAGGTCCCTTCTCCCCGCTCATTTTGTGTTTCTTAGGAGGCAAAAAAGCCCGTTTTTATCAGAATTTCTGCCACCCACCCCCCCCCGGTTCGCGGCGGCGTGGAGAAGAAAGCCTGTTGTTCCCCTCGGCAGAGTTTCCCTTCGAAGAGGCGAAGGGTGAGTTAAAAAAGAGGCGATAAACCCTGAGTCCTGGACCTGGACAGACCTCGGGAGACAGAAACTTTTGTTTTTCCTTCTAAATAAAATCCGCGACGTGGGCACCTAAATCTCCAAAGCAATTAATTATTATTCTTTAAAGGGTCTTCTCTTAACCTGGGCTGAAAATCAGGGATTTGAATCGATATTTTAATCGCAAATTGATTTCAAAGAGGAGGAAGTAACACAGGCTCATCTTGAGCACTGAATATGGATTAGAAATTAGCTCCTTTGTCCAAAATCCCTTACCCCTTTCAAAATAATTAAAATAAATTAAATTAGTGCATTATGCAACAAGGCGAGAAGCAGATTAAAGTCCTGTGAAGGGCTCTTTGTGCCCCAGAAGGAGATGACTTTTTACAGCATAGCAGCTTGTACTGTGTTGCTCAGTGTGCACAATACGGACATGGTTCCCTAGTGCTCCACTACAGAAATATTTATTTTCTTAATAAATTAGGCGACATAAGAACTTAACACGGCCAGTTTTTGCTGATAATTATAATCAGTGCCTTATCGCTTTATAATTCAACCACGTTTTTATTTTGATACAGCGTCATTGCTGAAAATCTGAGTCATCATTATTGGAGGAGACAGTGCTGCAGCTGATTTTCCATACTTCTACACAATAAAACTTGCTCAAGTTATCAGTTAGGGCTCCCCTCTTGTAGCAGATTGTGAAATATTGCATTTTTTACTGTCCAGGGACTGATTCCTGCATTGGAAGTAATATTAAAAATGACATATCCCCCTGATGTATCTGGTACACTAAAATGACTGGCTGCTAGCAAGAGGGGAAAAGTCTTCATCTGCACTTTACCAAGACCACACTTAAACAAATAAAAAATAAATGCATTCTATTTTTCAGAGCATAAAGAACTAAACCAAATATCCTCTAATCTTTTCATTATCGCCTACACCCCTTTGTTTTGCCAAAGGCCTGTAAACTCTTTGTTACTGCTTGCTGTTGTAACTGGCAGTGGAACTAAAATTTGTACAATGTTATGATTCAAATACTTCATGTTTTTCGAATGAATAATTATTAAAATGTTTTTATTGAACTGTAACCACTGATTTTTTGCTTCTATTTCAACATCTTTATGGTAACGTTCAGCACTATATATAAGGTAGAATCAAAACTGGCAACAGTCCTTTTTACCTTGAATTGCCTGTCCAGCGATGACAGATTACTCTCAAACCCATTCAGCATTCAGGCAGAAAATGGGGACGGCAGCTCAGACAAAGCCATGAGAAAACCGTATTAAAAATTAATAATTCTGAATGCCTACCGTTAAGAAAAAAAAAAAAAATGACAACGTCTGTTACGTCGAAAGGTTGTTTAGAGGGGGCAGGGTTGTTGTTTAAAGACATGAGTGACCTCAGCTTCACACAGGGCTAAGCCGAGAGAGGAGAGCCCTGCTGGGGCTGTGGGCTCCTTCCTGCAGCAGCCTTCAACTTTGTCACTCCCACCCCACCAGAGCAAAATGACCCTTTTCACACGGGATAAACCTCGCTGTAGAACACTACATATTCCAGTATATATTTAGTAGCAATTAGCCATTATAATATTCTCAAAATTTAATAATATCACAGCAAATAAAGTTTTCTCCGTGTTTTTTTCCTATGATGTACAGCTCCTTTTATGAGGACGTGGGTGGCTCTAAAAAGAGCCTTTGGGTTACTTGTGAGCTGGGAACGCTCCTCAGGTTTGCTTTACTTGCTCTTCGCCTTGTGGCTGTCGGTCTTCTTGGGCAGCAGCACGGCCTGGATGTTGGGCAGCACCCCGCCCTGCGCGATCGTCACCTTGCCCAGCAGCTTGTTGAGCTCCTCGTCGTTGCGGATGGCCAGCTGCAGGTGGCGGGGGATGATGCGCGTCTTCTTGTTGTCGCGGGCCGCGTTGCCCGCCAGCTCCAGGATCTCGGCCGTCAGGTACTCCAGCACAGGCGCC